CCCCACCCTGTCCCGTGCTCCATCTCCTTCCCCTGCTCAGGGGGTCTTTGGGAACTCGGGGGTGGTGGCTGAGAACCTCTTTGCAGGTCTCTTGCCCAGCCGGGTCCCTGGACCTGCTACTCCGGGGCTAAGAAGGTCTCTGCTTCTCAGAGGAGAGCACCAACAGTGGGGTTTAAATTGCTCTTCTGTATGTATTGTTTGTATTGCTGGTGAGTAAGAATCAGAGTTGGAACCAAAGCTTGCATTTGGCTCTAGTAAAGAAGATTGTTGAATTTGTATTATGAATTTGGCTGAAATTTGAAAACAAACTAAAAATTCTAAATCAGGTGACTTTTGAGGATGTCTCAATGGGCTTTAGAGGTATCTTCAGCAAACTCACTCTGTAGTATCCAAACCAGAAAGACTTTAAAAGGATGGACAGCTAATACAGTTCAAAATACTGTCAGAATACCAGACAATAATGTGATTATTGATTATTATATTTCAGTTGCCTTTCATTATCTTCTAGAATTGAAAACTGGTATTGTTTTGTTACACTGATTGTTTTACAATGCTCATATTTGTATAGGTTTTGTCCCAGTAGTTTTACAGCAGGTGGCAAGAATTGTTTGGAATATCCCTGTCTCCTCTCTGATTGCTGCAGCATCTGAAAGAGACCTTTTGGTTTATGAGTCCGCACAGGATTCTGTGTGATTGTGAGATAACGATACTTGAGGTGCTGAGCCTCACAGAAGAAGAGTCCTGGGCTAGAGAGCAAGAAAGTGGCTGGTTGGCAAGGCTGATGTTTGTGGGGGAGCCCCCCCATGGGCCCTGGCCCCCATCTCCCCTGCAACCTTTGAGATGAACTGGTAATATTACAGCTTGATGGTTTGTTAAAGGAGTTTAAATGATTTGTCTTGCTTGTACCTTGCTGTAGTGAATACCCTGGTTAAGTGCATTTTGATCATGCCCTGGATACTTTCTTCATGCTTTTTATGCCTCTTGGATTTGTTTCAGCAGAAATAGTTTTTTTAGACTCCCACCAGTATAGTTACTGTGAAGATGCCAAAGTCAGCAGCCAGTGTGGTACTGATTAGTTTGCCATAATAACATTCACACCAGCGTTTTGGTATGGATGAAAATTCT